AAGGCTAAATAATCTTCCATTGGGTATATAGCACGTTTTCCTTTTTCATGAAATCACTGGTACTGGGCGGCATCTTTCTCTTGGCCACTGTGAATAATATTTATGGAACACACGGATGTGTAACTATCTCAGCATCATGCTTCTCGTTCTTTGGGACATGTAGTATTAGTGAGGTTGGACTGCCATAATTGAATCCCATTGACTTTGGGTCTTAAACAGGAGAAACTAATTTTCTCACAGTTCTACAGGCCGGAAGTGTCCAGGTTGGATCTGATTCAGTTTTTCTTGAGGATTGTCTTGTAGGCTGCAGACAGCCGCCTGTCCTTTGTCCTCACATGGCATTTCTTTGGGAAAAGGAGAGAAAGGAAGAGAATGTGTAGTCTCTCTGGTGTTGCTACTTAAAAGGACATTGATCCTACCAGGTCAGGACCCTACTTTCTGGCCTCATTACGTCTGCTTTCTTAGAGGGACAGCCCAGCTCTCAGTGCAGCCCCACTGTAGCTTAGGGCTTCAACAGATAACCTGGTGGGAGACGCACAGATGAAGACCACAGTGTACACAAGCACAGTGTCTTTGTGAATCTGTGCTAGCTGCTCTTTCCCCTATGTACCTGAAGTCGAACTGCTGGCTCGTGTGTTAATTGTTTAACTTTTTCAGGAGCCATCTTGCTGTTTTCTGTAGTAATTGCACAGTTAGCAAAGGACGAGTCTCACAATTTCTCCATGTCCTCACCAGCTTGCCCTGCTGATGGTTTGAAACAGTGTCTCCCTGCTGCTTAGGTTTGCATGTTTGTGTATTATTGGCCATTTATCTATATTCTTTGGAGAGATGTCTGTTCACATCTTCCGTTCTTTAACTGGGCCAGTTTGTGTTGGTGCTGCCGAGCTGTTGGAGTTTTTCAAATACATTTTAAATATTAGCCCCTTATCAGATATACCACCTGCACATATTTCCCCTATTTTGTAGATAACCTCTCCATTATATTTACACTATCCTTGGATGCACAAGAAGACTTTAATTGTGATGGAATCTATAGTCTGATGTCACATAAAGAAACCACTGCAGAAGACAGTGTTACGAAGTTTTTCCCAAGGCTTTCTTCTGCATATTTTGTAGTTTTAGCTTTTAGTCTTTGACCCATTTTGAGATCATTTTTACATTAGCTGTAACGCAGTTATCCAGCTTCATTCAGTTGCACGTGAATATTTAGTTTTCCCAACATGACAGGAAAAAAATTTCTTTCCTCATGTTATACCCCTTATTATACCCTGTTAAAAATCATTTGACCAGACAAAAGGGTTTATTACTAGACTCACAATTCTGTCACATTGTTCTGTAGTCTGTCTTTATGCCAGCACTACAATGGTTTGATAGCTATAGTCTTATATTATGTTTTAAGTCAAGAAGTATGAGACATTTAACTTCTTTTTCAAGATGTTTTGGTCATTTGGTTCCCTTGAGCCTATAAAAGAATTTCAGGATGTATTTTTCTGTTTCTGAAAAAAGAGGTCCTGGACATCTTGTATGGATTCCATTAAATCTACAGATAGCTTTGGACAGAACTGAGCCTTACTCAGGTTATTTCATTGATTTTTGGTTGTTTTCAGTATATAACTGTACGGCCGTTGTGGTTAAAATCATCCCAAAATATTATATTTTATTTGTTGTAAATTAAGCTTATTTGAATTTACCCTTAGAAGTACCTCTATCAAAAAGAAACTGAAATTTGTACCTGAAAATTTATGTCCATTGACCAACAACTTCCTGTTCCCCCACCTCCAGCCGCCAGCAACCCCGATTCTGTTTTCTGTTTCTGTGAGTTTGACCACTTCAGATGCCTCCTGTGAGTGGAATCGTGTGGCCTTTGGGCTTTGTGATGAATTTATTCCACTTCACACAAGTTCACTGATGTAGCAGGAGCGGAACTTGCTGCCTGTTAAAGGCCGAGCACTGCGCCATGCTATGTAACTGTGCTCTCTCACCCCTGCGTGGGGTTGCTTCCACAAGCGGACCGCTGTGAGTGAGGCTGCGGGGAGCACGGGTGTGCAGATGTCTTCTCGAGGCCTTCCTTCAGTTCCTCTGGACTCACACCCAGAGGTGGGTTGATTGGATCATCTGGTGATTCCACTGTTAGTTTTTCGAGGAACCTCCATACTTTCTGTTTTTCACAGCAGCAACACCGTTTTATATTCTAACTACATACAAGATTTCCACTTTTTCCACATCCTCACTTTTGTTTTCTTCCATCTGAGTGGATATGGTGTGTGATGTCTCCCTGTGGCTTGCACTGTGTTACTTTGAGGGCTGGTGGTGTGAGCGTCTTCTGTGTGCTTGGTCTGGCGTGTGTGCTTCTTTTCCTGATTCCTCTGTGGGGATGGCTCCCTTCACACGTCCTGACTTCTCCCGGTCTGGCCCCTGGCTCTTTCCTGGCCGGGCGCGCTGTGTTGTATTCCTCTGTAATCCCTTCCCGGGCACAGCAGGGCCTGTTGTCCCCAGGTGGTCTTCAGGAACCGCACTCACGGCCTGTGCCCTGGCCATGCACCAGAGTGCGGGTCCTTCTGCTCTGTTCTCGCGCATGTGTGGACAGGAACGTCTGGGCGGGGCAGGGGGAGAGGGAGTAGAATGGCACCGACTTTCCAATCATGCTGATGGTAGCTTCTCGTGGATTTTATTCCTTCTTATGGCTGTGGATCTTGGCCCGGTTTCCAAGGCTCCTGCAAAGTTGTTAGTTCTGCATTTACTGTTTCCATGAAGTACCAAGGGCCCAGTAAGTTCTAATTCACCATCTTGCTGGCCCTGGACCATCTTGCTAGCCTTCTCAGTGTGTTACATTTTGATGTTGGTTTGCATTTTCTAGATTCCTGATTTGAGCAAAAAAAATCATTAGCTGACCATTTCTACTTTCTCTTCTGTACTTACTTTTAAAGTAGTTTTATCGTCGTGACCCATTTATGTGAGTTGTTTATATGTGCTAAATAATGTCTGTTTCTTCATTGTATAACTGCAACCTTTCCTAATTTTGTTCCTTGGATGGTTTCATGATTTGTAGCTCAAGTTCTTAATTTTAGTATCAAAATTTTGTATTATGTTTAATGCTTTTTGTCCGTTTTTAAGAAATCCCCTATCCAGTGTTCATGAAGATTTTTTGAGTACACTCTTATCATTTCTTTATATGTCAAAATATATTAGTCACTGATGCTTTCCTCTCTATTTAATAAATGTAGGCTGCTTATTTTGTCCTTTAAATTACATTTTAACATTTTTCCTCAATTGCCCTTAGCAGAGAAAAAATACTTCTTTGTATGTAGAGTGCTAGGAAAAAGTGCTACAGATAAAGATCCTATAGTATTATAAATATTGTACCATGAAGTTTTGTTAATTCTAATAGTGATTTGATCATATTTATTTAAATTTTGAATGTAAATGTTCTATGCCAGTATCCACTCTATTTCTGACAGTCAGTCTATGGCATAATGCAGAAATGGCGTGCAGGTCTCACTTCGACGTATGTGTGAGTCCACATTTCCAGTGCTTTGCTCAGCATCTCCCTATCTGTGTATCAATAAGTAGGAAAGTGTGACAGGAGAAAAGGGGTACTATGATTATACACCTTTGAGAAAATGTATTGTATTTTGCCACAGAACTTTACTATGTACATTACTTGTTTAAAGATTCTTTTTATTATTAAAGCAAAGGAAATTTATTTCACTTCATTTAACCAGTATTTTTTCCCATCTGCGGCATTTTTTCCCAAGTAAAACATCTATTAAAATTTGAAGAACCCTGTGGAATCTAGTATGGAAAATACCTTGCAATGAGTAAACAGTTACAGTATTTCCCAGTTTGGAAAAATACATGTTAAAAATAAGACTTTAAGTAGCATTAACACACATTCCTGAATCACATGCACAACCAGTTTCCAGAACTATTTTACCTTGCAAAAACAGGTACGTGGTACTGGAGAAAGAATTTTATTTGATGCCCCATGAAAATCATGCCCCAGAGGTACCATTATCATATCTGGGGATCCTTAGCAGACTGCAGTTGCACAGGGCAAAGAGGAGCAGGCTACCAAGAGCTCTCAACCCAGAGGCCTGGCGGCCTCCCCGACACCCTGCCAGGAGGAGGAGATGGGTGGGGGCTATGGTAAGCATCTGCGGAGTGCGTGTGACACATGGGTGCTTTTTCATAGAAGTCATCTGATTTTAGTCCTCACAGTAATGCTGTGAATTTAGGTATTGTTTTACCTGTTTCGCAAATCAGGAAAATGAGCTTAGGGACTCCTGGTTTACTTCGGGTTCCAAAGTTAACCGATGACATGGTGTTCAGCTTGTTTCTTTCCACACTTCCTTTATCTTGGTCATGCAAAGGTATCTGTGGTGATGTGCATTATACCAGGGCTGCTCAAACTCAATGAGTTTAGTAATTCTCCCCAAACTATATAGTTAGCACATGGACTGGAAATCAGATGAACAGTGAGATGCAGTCCCTTTGCTGACTTGGGGCTGTCTTTATACATCTAAGACGCAGTCTCGGGCTACCTGATCAGCACATTTCATCACACTTCCGATGATGGGCCCCTTCTGGTTCTCTGTAAGTCCACGTTTAAACTCAGCATTGAGTGACCAGTGCGGTGATCTTCAGGTCATCACCTAACTGAAAAGTTGAGACAAACACTTCAGCCGTGTGAGAACTGTAGAGCCCGCACTCACACTCACACTCGGAGACACAGTGGCGGCTGCCAGTGTGTGCAGGAGCGGGGCGGGGAGCTGTTTACTGGGCACATACGGCGGTTCTGCAAGCTGAAAATGGAGCAGGTCGGCGGTACATGTGAGCACGCTTTACACTACTCAAATATACACTCCAAAGAACTAAAATGGTGAATTTTTACCTTGCTTAAAAGATTAAGAATATTCCTTGACATTCTGTCCTTCTCCATGTGAAGCTAACTCGTGCGAAATTCAGGCAGTGTTACTTACTAACTGATTCTTTGTTTACAGTGATCTGCAGCCCTGGGTCTTACAACCCCCGTGACGGCATCCACTGCCTTCAGTGCAACAGCAGCCTGGTGTTCGGAGCAAAAGCATGTCCGTAGCCCGCTGTCTGGAGTTCTCCGGTGGCTTATTCCATGCAGAAGTATATTTTTGAGATATCAAAATATAATAAATCACTATTATGTAAAAATTAATTAATCCTATTTTACCACAAATTGTGTCATTTTAATCAGATTCTGTATGCCCACATACTTTATGGGGCTGAATATCTTGTCATCGTTATCCATTAATGCTAGAACTACCTATGACTCCAAAATTGTAGTTTAAAATTAGTTTCAAATACACTTTATCTTGTTAACCCAGAATATTTTTCAGAATCCTTCAAAAATATTCCATTTTATCTTCAGTGCATATTCACTAGATTCAGGTAACTGGATTCTTTTATAATAACTTTCATCTCAGCTAATTTCATTCCTGTGATTGAATTTTATGGTAGTTTCGTCATTCTAGTTTGACCTTTCACAGAGCCAGTTCTTAAAGACCTAGGGTCTTAATATTGCAGTTGTTGGCTTCTTTAGTAGAGAACTAGTTCCGATCACACTCTGGGTTTTTAATATAGTTCAATGTGGCTATCTTAACTTTTCAATGTAAAGTCTCTTAAATTACCTTCTTGACATTTAGGATACAGTAGTCATTGTGTACTGTATTGCTAAAGTAACATTTGATCTTTCTCAGTAGGGAGACTAAGCAATTTATTGCTCTGATAATACCTTTAGGAAAAAGAATCAAACAGCCGTCACAACTTTCATTTCATTTCTTCACTGTTAAAATGAGTATTATGTGACAGACATTAGTTCGACCTGCACTAATATTACCTTACCATATTTGAAATATGAAACATTACCAAAAGTTTAAAAATTTAAATGCCAGGATAATACATGAGTGGCTTACAAAATGAATAGTTCTCAATTTCCTGGTTGCTGTCTGATTTATATTTGTATAATCTTTACTCTCTGGGATATTCACTGTTCTACCATACATATTTCCTTTCTTTGTGGGACATAATTATTTATAAATGGCAAACAGAACAGAACAGGTTGGCTCTAGGAAATGGCTACACATGAACAGAAAAAGGGTCACTTGTATTTGTGACCCGTTAATCTTTATAAGATAGATAAGTTAATAAACAAGTCTCATGTTTGGTTACCCTATGGACAAATATCACTTAACACCAGAATTCGCACCCATATACAAAGAGAGGAGATGTGGCCTACGGCTGTATTTTCTTAGCCCTGGTGATGTGCTTTTTAAATGCCTTAGGGTTGTAGCATCCTGCTGCAATTGTTTCCACTTTGTTCTCAGAGGTTCCTCAAATGCCTTCCCTCTGAAGTAGCAGGTGGTTACTGTTCTCTGCAGTCAGCATTGTGTGCTCTGTGAGGAGGGAGTCTCTGCATCGCTAACAAGCAGGGTGACGTCCCAGGTCCACACTGCTTCAGCTCATAAATATAATGAACGTACTCTTTACTCCGTAACTTTGGCTTCCTGTTAGCCTGTTATTTAAAAGGCTTTACTGGCTTAAATTAGGGTGTGTTTTGCTGAGGCAGGAACAGCATGAGAGCAGAAGTCACCTGGGAAGGGAGAGGCCGAGCTGTGATGGAAACGCTTCCGTCCTGCGGTGGTCAGAGTCCATCCTGAAGACACAGGTGACCTGGGATCAGAGTGGACGCACGATGGGAGGGTTAGAGCACTTCAGCGTTCTTAGTTCCCTAGGCAAGCTCAGAATGGACCTCCCAGTACCAGAGGGCAAACCAGGTAAGATGGAGGCGAGTCGGGCAGAGAGAACAACGGGCAGAAACTGAGGTAGGAGACAAAGTAGGAGACAGGGCGGCCTGAATGCTGCCCTGTTTCCCCTCCCATGCTGAAATGCTCTTTGTTCTCTGGCACGTGACCACGTTTATTTTAGGTGACTGTGTATTTGTCTCCCACACTCATTTATATTAGGATATTCCCAGTTTCATGGTCCTTTTCATAGGACATAGGTGCTTAATAATTTTAACTAATTAATCAATTAAAGTCCTATAAGTAAAAATACTTCAATAACTAAGACAAAAGGTGCTTCTCTTATAATGCCAGATAGGGTATCAGTGCTGAAAGTTGTCTAAAATGATGACACTATGGAAGATTATAAACTGCTATAAACCAATTTCAAATAGTTTTCTTGGCACCAAAATAATAGTTTGCATTTATATAATGCCTTAATTTGCACAGAGTATTTTTAAAATTATATGAGCTTATGTTTTTTACTAAACTCTGAAGTTATAAGGGCAAATATGATTCCCATTTTTATTCAAGTTTTTCTTTTTTTTTTTTTGGTTTTTCTCCGGTAGCAGGAACCGAACTCACGACCTTGCGCTTGCCAGGTAGGCGCTTTTGCCGCTGAGCTAAATCCCCAGCCCCTATTCAAGTTTTTCTCATGATAAACATGTAATGGATATTCACTTGGCAATAATTAAAAAGAGCCTTAATAAGTTTGGTCCAGTAATCTCACTGATTGGGAACTTTCTTAAAGAAGTAAATGAGAGACCAGCTGAAATAATATGTCCAATGGTATTAATTGCTGTATTATGTCTAATAAAGAAAAGGGAATTAACATAAATGGACCTATGAGAGAGAAATGGTGGAATAAATTGCACTGTTCCCATATGGTGGAATGTTACAATTCCATTAAGATTCCATTTTCAAATTAAATAACTCAATTAGGATTGATCTGAAGTATTTTTATCTGTGTTGATTAGACTTTTAAAACAGATGCCCCAAAATCTTAACCACAATTGTCTCATGTGTGAGGCTTTTCTGTGAATCTTTTGATGCCTCCTGTTCTCCAGATTTTCCTCAGTGACATAAATAGCTTTCAAAATCTTGAGCAGTAACTTAACAAAGGGAAGCAGCAGCGATTGAGGGTGACGTCTCTCTCCAAAATCCGCTCGCCTTCCCTCCCGTAGCCACACTGCAGGTGCGCTCAGTCCAGAGCACCGGCCCTACGGCTGTCAGAGCGAGGCTGTTTCTGGCCGCCACCTTGCTGCAGCCCTGAGGCGACCTGCAGGAAGAGCTGTGTGCACCGAGAACAGAGGGCAGGTGGCAAAAGCGCCAGGCCCGAGGATGCTGCCGAGACGCTGCCCTCCCTGCAGCTGAACCCCAGCCTTCCCTGGACTTACCAGTCCTGTGGGGTAGAAAGGGAAACAGCACAGCTTCTGTTACGTAGCGCTGAAGACACCCTAATGGATGCAGTACTCATTAGAAATTTTGGACAATCCTGGAGATAGAAGGCGGTTACTGCATCTCATCAGATACCAACTCGGGCTGACGGTCTGACCATTGTTCTGCTTTGCCCAGACCTTTTATTCCTGCTTCGTGTGCCAGAGAGCCAGCGTTCCCCTGAATGCTGCGGTGCCTGTATTGCTGTACTGACTGACTCACTTCACTAACAGAACTTAATGCTAATCTATTCCACTCACTCCAGAAAAATGCTGTGGTAACAGCGGAGCATTTCTAGTTGCTGGACATTTCTCTTGCTTCCAGAGTTTCATTGTTTTTTGTTTTGTTTTGTTTTGTGTTTTGTTTTTAGCAAAACCATCGAATCTTCTTCCTGGAAATTCTGTGGTGTCCTAAACTCTTCTTCATGCGACGTATCTCTCACAGGCTGTCGCCGGGCAGACTTGGATTGCCGGGGGCATCAAGGTACTGCTTGCCTTAGCTCGGCTGTGTCCCAGTGAAGCAGTCACAGGTGAAGACATCAGGAGCTGAAGATGCGATTGGTCTTCCTAACTTACCTACTAAAGCAAATTAATCGCGGCATAAGAGGGACGCTGTTGGGGCAGTCGTCAGTTTCTCTCCAAATGCAGTTACGAGGCACAGGGGCCGGGACACTGGCGGATGACTTGGTGTGTCTGTGACCTTCAGGGTTCTGTACACGTCTCTACGTCACCCAGAAGCGCCCCGCCCCCGCCTGCCGGCTCTGCGAAGCGTACACTTTGAGGTCTCTTTCTTCTAACATCTGTGGGTGTGGGCCCCTGCTTGTAGTCCACACCGCTGCCACTTTCTCTGCTATTTTCTGAGCCGCAGGCAAAAGTCCTGCCTTCCTCCTCTCTCGTGCTCTTCCAGTTCGATCAGCTGAGCTCTTCAGCCTTGGTCCCAAGGAGCTCACCAGTAACCTCTTCAGGAAGACCCAATCATGCCATTGGCCTGGCACCAGTGTCTTGTTCCTAGTTCGTGGGCAGCAGAATCTGTCCGAGCTCTTGCATGTATTCTCATGGGACTGCAAAAGTGTGTCCCACTGCTGTGATCCTGCACCGCGGGGATTTCCCACGCTGTCACGCTGTGTCAGGCAGCACTTGGGGCGTCCGGTGGCGTTGCCACCCGAGCCGCCGGTGCAAACACCGGCGTAAACCCACGCTCTAGTGCGGCTGTTCCGGTGCCGTGCGCTGGCTGAGGGAGTGTTGTGTGGGGCAGCAGCTCCAGGAGCATCAGGTTGGACGCGCCGCAATGACGGCTGGGGTGCCCCGCAGCACTCTCTAAGAGGAGGCTGGGATGTTCTGTGGAATTACGGTTCCTCCAATGGTCTTCCAACAATGCTGACACCATCCGTGCTCTGTTGGGTGGCTGTAGGAAATGTCAACCATGAGCTCGTTGACTTTCTTGGGTGCCCCAGCATTCCCTGACTGCTAGAGTAAGAAGCCTTTAGCTGGAATCCTGCCGCTTCTCCCCCATGGCAGTGCTCTACTACCTTAGAGTGCTCTGGATCCTGGGACATACTTAGGCACACTCCAGCATGTCATTCCAGAACGAGCTCATTTCATCAGCAACAAATACTTCCGGCCGGTCTTTCTCATCCACAGCTGCCCTTCGCAGCTGTCCGTAACAACTCTGGTGCCCCCGGTACTGGCTGCCGCCTCACCGCTGCCTCCACCTTTCCCCGCCCAGGACCGCACCTGGCGGGGTGTGTGCGGTGCCCCTGCCCCACACTCAGAGCTCCTTTGCGGGGTGGTGGTGGTGGTCTTTTGTTGTCTTTTTTTTTTTTCTTTTTTTGAAACAGGGTCTTGTTTTGTAGCTCAGGCTGGCCCCAAACTCATGGTGATCCTCCTGCCTCAGCCACTGCGTGCTGAGATTACAGGCATGGGCCACTAGCGCATCAGACCTCCTTTGT